TTCTTCAACGTGTCATAGTCATGCACTCAATTGAAGAATGCAATATTATCATGTGATTACATATCCCCGTTATATCTAACAATTATTCATTCAAAAGTACTCATGGAGTCCATATGTTTAGATAGTGCAGAAATAGTGTTCTAGGTACTCAAAATGATATACACTCAAAGTAGTACATAGGCATAAGAGCCATCTTATTGGGTACAAATCACACATTAACATCAACATGAAACTTGACTTTTTTTTTTTTTTTTAAATCACACACATTCAACAGCTAAATAGTTGCAAAGTCATTCATATATTTTGAGATCATCATTGTTTGAAATGAGGCTGTCTGCAGACTTGGAAATTGAACTTGACTCCAAGTTATACATGCATTGTGTTTGGTGTATCTCGACTGCAGTTGAATTCAAGTTAATGGCCTACTAGTTTACAATTGTTTGAACTATAATGTCATAAGACTTGTACTTTTGTACAGCAATTTTTTTTTTTTTTGCAATCACGTTGAAAGCCGAAACCAAGAAAATACTCATATACAAGTCTTTTAGGCATACTTCAAAACTATGAGATCACACACATTAAAGTAATGAACTTTTAAATTTGAATGCAATTGGGCAATTATAAAATGCATTGCATTCTTTAGTCAATTACTTATTCTTAAAACCTCATCATTAGATTTCATGTGCATAGATAAACAAGACACATCTAAAATTACTTAGCAATTTCACAACTAGTTCAAAAACTTTGAATATAAAGTTTTTTTTTTAAAATAGGAGCAAGTAGAATGGGCATATATTGCGAAGTATTTATAAGTGCATACATAATATTGATACCAGACTCCAAAGCACATAAAATCAATGGATATTATCCTTTCTAGTCTCAGTCTATAAGTATGACCATTCACATGAAATATCTTATTTATTAAAATTTGTCCCGATTATGTTATGCACCATGTAAGATTCTAATCGTCGGGATTATGTTAGTTTTATGATTTGATTATTTAGAAGCAAAACATGCAACGATAACCTTATCTTATGTGAAGAGGCTTATCGTCTTAAAATTGTTGGTTCTAGACCAAATTAATCATATAAGTAATAGTAATTTCTCTGGTAAAATTTAACAAAGAAATTAACAAAATCTCATACCTCAATATTGCATTAATAAATGCAAATGATTTGTACCATCAAAAGTTATTTTGGCATGGGTTGATGCGCGAACTAGATCTTAAAATTATTGGATGAACAGCTTCTGATATTCAATCCGAACACCTTGAATTGACAGCTACTAAAAAGTTCGGTAGGGCTGAGACACGTAGAACGCTCTCTTTAAGACGATACGCGCCCCTACAGTATTTTTTAAACCGATGTAGAAGGTCTAGCGCGCCGCCTCCAGGATACAACAGCCCAACTCTATAGTTGTTGCTTCCCTTTGATCTGCACAACCAAGAGAAGCAGAAACTTCCCAATATCTTACTTTACCCAAATAAAATAGAATGAGGGAGAAAGAAATGAGTGTGAGAAAAATAATATTTGGAAAGATCTTTTGTTGAGAAAAGTGTGTGTTACAAATTCTCCAAAGAATTTCACTATTTATAGGCTACAAAACCTTAAGAAAAAGGGGTTGAAAATGTATAACGGTTTTTCCATATTAAATTGTAGTCAATTGGTAGAATTTGTAACCTAAAAAAATTAATCCACATTTGAATGGGTTATAAAGACTCAATTAATTCCTCATTTGAACAAATAATTCATTTGTAACTCTAATTCAAATAATTGTACAATAACTCCATTCAAAATTCATTGTAACTCCCACAATTAGAATTCCCATAACTCCCAAATAAATTGTTATAACTCCTTGTAATGAAACTCCCACAATTATAATTCAAATAACTTCCAAATAAATTATTATAACTCCTTGTAAAGATTTGGTCAAGGAAAAAAAAATTAAGATTTTATTAAAGTACACCAACAACCAATTACATGGTAACGTTTTAGTCAGTTGTTGACTTGATAGTTTCCTTAAATTTTGGTCGGTGAATAGTCAAGTCCCAATCCTTGATTAGTTAGTTTCCTGTGTGTAATTGATTTCTTAGTCCAAGTCGGTATCGGTTTAGGAAGTCCCTTTAGTCTTTAGTTATATGGTAACCTATTGCCTATGTATATGCGGTGCCTATTTCATATCTAATTGGAGAGTTGAGTTGAGCGAGTCTTGTTAGACTGAGTTGCAAAATTTATTGAGTTGAGTTACGTGATAGAGAGAAATTAATTGATTGATTGAACAACCTCCCGTGCCTTCGTCGTTCTTGTGTAAGATTTAATGTTACTTCTAATGCACGATTTTTTGTACTAACAAGTAGTATCAGACATCTAGACTTTGATCTTAGAGCTTATTTGTGAAATTAAAATATGGATCCGTGTTATTTACAACATTATGATGTTGTGACGTTTTTAACTTTGATGGTAAAAAGGACTCTGATGTTTGGAGTTGGATGAAGAGATATTTTTCAAATTATGGGATTTGGGATATTATTCAAAAGGGGTTCAGGGAACCTACACAAGGCACAGAATTATTGAATAGTGTAGTTAAAAAGTTAGAGAGAAATAGACAGTTGGATAGCAAGACATTTTACTATCTCAGCACCCAAGTCCAATTGCATGTAGCGAAAAGATTTATACATGCAAAGACGGCAAAGGAGGTTTGAAAAATTTTTGAAAAATTCTTATTGTAGTTATGATGGAGAAAAAAATTTGTGACGAGAAAGAAGAAAAATATATATTTTTTTATGAGATAAAGAAAGAAAAAATTACAGAAGTTGTAGGTGCCCATGAAGATGAAAATTTTGTTCAAAAGGAAATTCACAGTTGGTTGAGAAAGAAAGTGAAATCATTAGTCAGATTAAAGATGTGACTGAAGCTTATGGCAACGTAAAAATTGTTAATTAAAGATTTCATGAAGTTTTCTTGGTGGCATGGACAAATTAAATTATGCAGTATCTAATGAAACATGGGTGAACATGTTTGAATTTTTTGACAAGACTGATCAAACAAAGAAATTATTCGAAAAGTACAAGTTCCGTCTACTTCCACTGGAGAAGATGAAACTGAAGATCAATTGTAAGTTGAGATTCCATATGATCTATACAACAACAGAGTTTTTCATATAGATTCAAGTTCGAGATGGTATTGGAATTGACCATAATGACGAGTTTAGTTTAAGAAAGGTAATGAAGGAAATTAAACCAAGTTTATTTCATTTTTTTGTTTAGATTATTAGATTAAAGTTGTTACTCTATCCAATTACATGGTAAAGTTTTAGTCAGCTGTCCGCTTGTTTTTTTTTTTTTTTTTGTCGACACAGGGGTGTCCGCTTGTTAGTTTCCTTGAATTTTGGTCGGTGAATAGTCAAGTTCGAATCCTTGATTAATTAGTTTTCTAAGTGTAATTGGTTTCTTAGTCCAAGTCGGTGGAAGTCACTCGAGTCTTTAGTTATATGGTAACCTGTTGCCTACATATATGTGATGCTTGTTTCAATTAGAGAATTGAGTTGAGTCTTGTTAAATTGAGTCGAAGAATTTGTTGAGTAGAGTTGAGCTTTGAAAGAAGAAAACTAATAGATTGATTGAATAACCTGCCGTGTTTTTTTGTGCTGACATTATTTAGCTGTGTCTTAGTGTTTTGGGAAGGGTTACACTAGAGTTTTGCCAAAACCGGCCATGCAAGTAGACCTAGTTTCCAGAGCTGACACTTCACATACACTAATGTTTTCCTGCTCTATCCTTGCGGTTATAGGCCTATCATCTAACTGTTCTAGGAGGTCACAACGTTGACCAGGTACGAAATCTTAAAAAAAGTGCGACAGCCCAATAGGCAAGCAGCTTACATCATCCCATGAGCATCAGAATTCTAAGCTTGATGAGCCTCACTTTGGCTGACTCCATCTCTTTCATATTTCTAATTTGTGGATAGTGCAGTTTTTCTCTTTCATATTTCTAATTTGTTAATCTGTGGATAGTGCAGTTTATAGCGTCCCATTTGTTTTCCACAAATGACTTGACTTATTGTTAAGAAAACCCCGTTGCAATCCAACTGGTCATTTAATTGTGTGCGGATACTAGATTGTTAAGAAAACTCCGTTGCAATTCAACTGATTATTTAATCATATGCGGATTGTAGAGATAACTCGTACGAATTCTAAAAGCGACCTCATCTAATGTGGGGTTTTGTCCCGTATAGCACTTAGTTCCTTATATTTTCTTACTTAAATCATGTTTGATAAGTTAATTCAGCACTTAAATGTAATGGAACCAGATATTAATATATTTAGATCGTTTGATAACAAAAAAATTAAACATTTGAATAAATTAAGTAGCACTGAATTTTTTAGACAAAACTTGCTCCCAAAATTAATTGATAAATTATTCACTTATCACCGAATATGATATGCATTCAAATATATTATATTTAATACTTAATAATTTAATTGTTTAATAGATTCAAACTTTAGATTTTAGACTGAAACCTTTAGTTGTTATTGGAATCACACCACTTGACCCAGATTCACCTCACATAAAATTCATGCGAGATTCTCACATAAACTATTGGAATGGTCCACGGCTGTTGGACTGGCCCAACAAAAGCTAAATTAACCCCATGTTATTAATTATTCGATGGCCGAACGTTTTATATCTTTACTTTCCTCTTCCGAGTTCCGATGTGGAATATCATAGTAAATGGCATCATGTGCGGTAACTGATATGTTCTGTCTACCACAAGTTCCATTCCCATCCCTTAGTAGGGGTGAGCAATTACGGTAAATACCGATTTACCGACCGAAATCGATTTCAATTTGGTAATTCGGTAATTCGGTCGGTAAATCGGGGATATAGTACTAGTTAAAATCGAATTAGGTTCGAAAACGGTTTTATAGTTTTTGAATTCGGATATATCGAATTCGAATTAATTTCGGAATTCGAGAAAGGTGGGATTAAGGTGAATGGGAAGATGCAATCGAGCAACACTTCAGTCTATGCAGTTGGGGATGTTGCCGCTTTTCCAGTAAAAATGTTTGCTGAAACACGCAGACTTGAGCATGTAGATTCTGCGAGGAAGTCAGCAAGGCATGCTGTTGCTGCTATCATGGAGCCAGAAAAGACGGGTGAATTCGACTACCTGCCATTCTTCTACTCCCGCGTCTTCACATTGTCTTGGCAGTTTTATGGAGACAACGCAGGGGAAGTAATTCATTTTGGGGATTTCTCGGGAAAGACTTTTGGGGCTTATTGGATTAATAAGGGTCATCTTGTTGGTTCTTTTCTGGAGGGTGGAACCAAAGAGCAGTACGAAGCTATAGCCAAGGCCACGAGGCTTAAACCGGCAATTGAAGACCTGGGTGAGCTTGAGAGGTAGGGACTGGGATTTGCTTTGACAGCAAGCCAGAAACCATCATCATCATCACCTCCTCTTGTTGCTGGCAGTTCTAATCTCGTCATCGAGAAACCATTACACGCTTGGTACGCAACTGCGGGTGTGATTGTGGCTGCATCAGTAGCAACCTTTGCATACTGGTATGGCAGGAGGCGACGAAGCAAAACAGGCTGCGATTGCTTCAGGAATTCGGACAATTCGGTCAATTTGGTCAATTTGTGTTTACCGAATTCAATCCGAATTGAATTCGAATTCGAAATTTGGTAATTCGAATACGAATTAGGTCGAAATATCTCAACACCATTTACCGAAAATTACCGATTTCAACCTACCGAATTACCGAATTCGAATTCGATGCTCACCCCTATCCCTTAGGTCGCAGGCAAGAAGATCTTTAATTTAACTTCGTATGGAGTTTCTGGTTTTAGTTTGTGTTGAAGATTGGTTTGAAAATCAAATTGTCTTAAGCAACACTGCCAGCTTTTCTTTATCTGTTGATTAAACCTAAGAAGAACTCCCCTCCCCTCCCAAGTCCCATCCACCCAAAATAAAATAAAATAAAAACTTGCAGCAAAACAAATTAGATAGGTACATGACCCTTGCTTACCTTATTCTGAGTCACCTATTACCATAGTCAAGTCAACTCCCAATATTATTTGATATTTCTCTTAGACGACTAATTATAGTTATCATCGTTACAAGTCTCTCTCTCTCTCTCTCTCTCTCTCTCTCTCTCTCTTTAAAATTTAGGATTATTATTATTTTATCCCCTTAACGTTCGGTGTAACTATAAATTTCCCCCTTAACGTTATCTTTTAGTCACATACCTCCAAGACTAACGGTCAAACTTAACGGAGTTTGTTAATTAAAATAAAAAGACAAGTTTAGTCCTTAAAGTTATTATCATTTTACCCCCATAAACTATAGTCTCAATATCAATTTACCCCATAGAGTTATTTTTTAGACAATTTATCCCACTATTAAATCAATTTAGCAAGTTAAAAAACTTTAAAAGAAAGTACCCTTCTCTTTGTATAATAAAAATAATAATAAATTTAGAGTGGCTCATCTCCTTTTTAGTATCAAGAAAAAAAGTCAAAATATTAATTTCTTTCTTCTTGACAATCTTACTAATATTAAAAAATAGAAAGATCGGAAGGGGGAGGGAGAGGGGGAGAGAGAGAGAGAGAGAGAGAGAGAGAGAGAGAGAGCTCAATTCCTTTTTTAGAAAATACAAATAAGAAAGAATTAAATACTTTTATTATTTTAAAATTATTTCACTTTACTATTTACCACCAGATTTCAATTCTAATTCCAACAATCTTAAATTAATACGATATTGTTAGACTTTTTTTTCTTTACAAAATCTAATTTTCTGTCACCTTCTTTCCTATCTCTTTTTCTTTTCATAGTATTAATAAGTGTGAAAAAAGAAATTTGAGAAAACCCTTTTATTTTTATATTTTTGGATCTCTTAAAGTGAAAAAAAAGAAAAATAATCATTCTAAATTTTTTATTTTTAATTATATATATAAGGGTAAATATATTTAAAATTTTTTGACCAAAGTAGTTAGATTAATGATGAAGTAAAATGCCAAAAAAATAACGCTAAGAATTAAATAGATTATATCACTGTAATTTAAAGGAATAAAGTAATAATAACAGTGTAGTAATGCTATAGAATAAAAGGGTATTTTTGTCCAAAATTTCTTAATATGTTGGTTGAATTATTTATGGGGGTAAAGTGACTAAAAGATAACGTTAGGGGGTAAACTGATAGTAGTGATATAGTTTAAGGGGGTAAAGTGACAATAACCCTAAAATTTATTTCATACGTTTTGTTTTACAAGTCATGGCTAACTGGTAAATCTGATGTACTTAATCACCTATCCTGTTGAATGGCAAATAGTTACATCAGAATCTTACTTCAAAATCTGTCAGATATTAGGAGCGATCAATTTTCAAAATCCAAAAATAAAAATAGAAGTAGCAAAAGGAGAAACTGTATCTAGTACTGTGAAAATTTCAAAAGTCGCTCGTAATTCATTGCTTTATAAATAATTCACAAAGTTTAACTAGTCCATCAGAATCACGAAAGAACAACGTAGCACTAGCTGGTTGTATGATTTGATGTTATAGATAATTAATTAATTTGATGTCTTGGAATACAATCAAATTACACAAATTGACATAAAACAATTAACCAAGTTGGTCAACTTCAACATATAAAAACTTATCTTATTTTAGCTAGTTTAAAAATTGATGACGTGCTTTTAGAAACTTTTTCCTTACCTGTTCAAAAATCACAGGGGCAAGTATTTGGCTCTGATCACATTTCTGGTGAAGAAACTACATTTTTTCTACCTTTGAATCTTATCTTCCCTTTTGAGTTTTCATCAGTTTTTTTTTGCTTGTTGCTTACTTACAAAAGATAATCCCCAAAAAAAAAAAAAAAGGAAACAAAGATTAGATAAAAAAATGGCACTGATAGAAGTCTTTCTTGGTGCAATCATCAAGGTGATATTTGACAAGCTTGCTTCTGTTGATTTGAAGAAACTTGCACGCTTAGAAGGCTTACATACTCAGCTGAAACGATGGAGCCAAGTGCTATCCCTGATTCAGGCAGTGCTTGATGATGCAGGGGACAAACAGAATATGAGGATTGCTGTGAAGCAGTGGCTAGATGATCTTCAGAATTTGGCATATGATATGGATGATGTGATTGACGAATTCTCCACAGAAGCTTGTCGAAGAAAGTTGATGGAAGCTCAAGGCTCTACTAGCAAGGTAAGAAAGGTTAAAATCCCTTCCTGTTGTACAAATTTTTCTGTTAAAGATTATAAGTTCAACAGAAAAATGGCTTCCAAGGTGGATGAAATAACTAGAAGATTGGAGAGCCTGAAAGAACAAATCAAAATCCTCCATTTGGTAGAGACTGTAGCAAAGAGGCAGAATAAAACTAGGGATCGACTGCCATCAACTTCCTTAGTGGAGTCTTATGTTTATGGTCGAGAGAATGACAAAAAAGAGCTGCTGAAATTGCTCCTTTCAAATGAATCGAGTGATGATCAAGTGGTTGTGATACCAATTGTCGGCATGGGAGGGGTTGGTAAAACAACTCTTGCTCAAATGGTGTACAATGATGACAGAGTCAACGAATTTTTCAATTCCAAGGCTTGGGCTTGTGTTTCAGATGATTTTGACATTTTTGGGGTAACAAAGACAATCCTTAAAGCAATCACAGCAGGTGGCTGTGATTATGAGGATCTGAATATGGTTCAAGTGAAACTGAGTGAGGCCTTGACCAGGATGAGGTTTCTAATTGTTTTAGATGATGTTTGGAATGAAAAATACGAGGACTGGGACATCCTGCGCCGCCCATTTCTAGTTGGTTCATCTGGGAGCAAGATAATTGTCACCACTCGGCATCATAGGGTGGCATCAGTAATGTCTTCCACTGCTGGATATAGTCTGAAGGAGTTGACAGATGATGAAAGCTTATGCTTACTGGCAAGACATGCACTAGGAAGGACAAATTTTGACAGGCACCCCAATCTAGAAGGCATTGGTAGGAGTATTGTAAGGAAATGTAAGAACTTGCCCTTGGCCGTGAAGACTCTTGGAGGGATGTTGCGTGATAGATTGAGTCTAGATGAATGGACGGATATACTGAACAGTGAGATATGGGAAATAAAAGAGGATCAAAGTGATATTCTTCCAGCACTAAGATTAAGCTATTATCATCTTCCTGCCCATCTAAAACCGTGCTTTGCTTACTGCTCCATATTTCCCAAGGACTATGAGTTTGACAAATATGAGCTTGTATTGCTCTGGATGGCAGAAGGTTTTGTCGATGAATCAAAAGCAAGTGAACTTATGGAGGACATAGGGGACAATTATTTTAAGGAGCTACTAATGAGGTCCTTCTTCCAGCAGTCAAGTTCCACTAGTTCACATTTTGTGATGCATGACCTCATTAACGATCTAGCCAGATATGTTGCTGGAGATTTTTGTTCAAGACTGACAGACGACTTGGAAGAGAACATGAAATGCACGATTCTTGACAAGGTTAGGTACGCATCATTCACAAGTTCAGTGCATGGAGCTACACAAAAGTTTAAAACTCTTCAGAAAGCAAAACATTTGCGGAGTTTCCTACCCCTTTCTGGCAAGTATGGAGGCACGACATTTTACATCGCTAAAAAGGTCGTAGCAGAACTTTTGCTGGAATTGCGATACTCAAGGGTGCTATCATTCAGTGGCTATGCGATCTCTGATCTACCAAATTCCATCGTTGAATTAATACATCTAAGGTACCTGAATTTGTCTGGTACTTCGTTGAAATTGTTGCCTGAATCATTGAGTAATCTTTGCAATTTACAAACACTAGGTTTGCGCAACTGCTGGCAGCTGATTAACTTACCGGTGGGTATTAGAAAATTAATTAACCTGCGCCATCTTGAAAATTCCAATACTAGTCAATTGCATGAGATGCCTTCAGGGATTGATCAGTTGACGAGTTTGCAGACGCTATCCAAAGTGGTTGTGAGCAAACATGGTGGGTTCAGACTGAATGACTTGGGGAACTTGTCCTTACTGGCAGGGTCACTCGCCATTTTGGAGTTGCAAAATGTTACGAATGTCCAAGAAGCACGGGATGCCAATTTGAAGAACAAGAGGGGCCTTGATAAAATAGTATTGGCATGGAATAGTGAATATGATGGTTCTCTGAGTAAAGTTCTTCAACAAGATTTGCTTGAGGCACTACGACCACACACAAACCTAACGAGTCTTGAAATTAAGTTCTATAAGGGAGACAAATTCTCTTCCTGGGTGGGGGATTCTTCATTTACTAAATTAGTAAAAGTAAGCCTTAAAGGTTGCACACACTGCAAGTGTTTACCATCACTCGGGCAATTGCCTGCGCTCAAGGATTTGAGCATTCAAAGCATGCTTGAGGTGAAGGCAGTAGGTACCGAGTT